GAGACGGAGGACACTATATAAATTTTGTCAAAGTTAGGGCCCTAAGTTTCTCTTGTTTCTTGTAGTGCATAATCTCTTGAAATGTAAGTACATGATAATTAATTCTTCTTAATTAAGGAAATAGTATCCCCTTTGACCAAAGAATTAACAAGCAAAATGAAAATAAAAAAACTAAAGTTTTTCTATTAATTAAGCTAATAATTTGAATACAAATATTATCTCTCTTATGGTTAGAGATATTTCTAGACATAAATCTGCATACATAAGGGAAAACAGAATTAAACATTTTTTAAGCTTTAGTATGACATAATTTTAGAGAATAAAGGTTAGATGGGAAGATCATTAACTCAGTGTAAGTTAATTGTGAAAATTACAGAAATTTATATATATATATATATATATATATATATACATATATATATATATATATATATAGTAAAAGGAAAATATATTTTTTGAAAATCAAAGAAATTTTAGGCGTCTCAATAAAGATACTGAGCTGCACTAATTAGTTTCATTGTGTTTTTTTTCTTCACTTATGAGAGTTGCCTTTATTTTCACAATTAATGGATCTGTATTTGTATATTTCTTCATCTAAGTTAATTGACAAAAAAACACCAACTACTTGTTTATTTATAGAGGGGAGCAAAACTCTGCAAACTATTCGCAGAACAAAAAGTAATGTGTATGGTTGCAACATTATTAAAGATTTTCAAATATTTTATAATATTCGAGTTAATAATATTACGTGATACTCACGTGCAATACACATACTTTTCAGGTAGATCATATTCCAAGATAAGCATGTGGTAGGCCTTGTTACGTTGTTAGCAGATAAATTACGATATGAGTAAATACATATCACCATGAACCATGAATGTGAAACTCGTGAAAGGTGAATAGTTAGATAATAACTTTGAGGTCCTCTTGGATTGTTATTTAATCCATGTTATGTGGCTTCTATAATCAATCCGTTTAAGGCTAAAACTTGACCATTCTGGAAATAAGAATAAGAGTCTGGCATAACATCTAATTTTGAATATTTGACGTTAGTAGACATAATATACTCATTCGATAGCTAGGTGTCCTAATGTGGATGAAAAGCAATTGGAAGCCAAATTTTTCTCATTGAATAAGTAGTCATCCAATCATTTTAATTTTCATTCTAAAAAATAATGTAGACTCCTCCTAATATGGCATATTTCTTAAAAAAAATTGAAAACTAGTCAAATTGATTTTAAAGTATTTTAAACTCCTAATATAAGAACTCATGTTAATTTGTGTAACTCCTAAATATGGTAGTACTATAAGTGATATTCTAAGAATCAAAATCTTTTTTTGATTTAAGATTTTTCTACTTGTGTAAAGACGAAGCCAACCTAGATCACATATACAAGTCATTATATACAATGTCTCACATATTCACAAGAATCAAGTCACCCTTCCAATATAAATGTTTAGACATCATAAATTATTTTTGTTGATTTACATAATCTTACTTTTCATGTCAATGGCGAAAATTGATTGACTATATTCTTTCTTCTTATTTATCATAATTATGATAGTGAAATTCTTCTCTATTTATTTTTTAAAATGTAATTTGAGTTATTTTTTTGAGATTCTTTTATCTGTTGCAGGCATATGTTTATATATTGGTACTTAAATTAACTATGATATTCATGTGATTGCGCAAAGAAAAAACCTATGAATTTATAAATATGGGTTTTGCCGTATGAAATATTTTCACTAACATGATATATACATGCAATGCACGTATGTTAAACTAATATAGAAAACTTTGACATTTTACGTATAGATTATTAATTGTAAGGATGCTTTTGTACACGCTCAATACGATACATATATATATATATATATATATATATATATATATATATATATATATATATATATATATATGCAGATTATTTTTGGGGCAGTTTCAAGTATATACAATAAACTAATTAATTATAATGAATAGTTACATAAAAAAAAATAGCTAAAAATTATACACATGTCAAAAGTCATAAAAGTGTGTGTTAACTGTATGATATAGCTTAAATAGGCATGAGTTATATGTTGATTAATGACAACACCTTATGATATACACTAAAAAAGTTCATATATATGAAGCATGAGTTTTTCTTTTTTGGGTCGAACGAACACATTTTATTATATAAGAACCCCAAGCTCCATCAATTACAAACTACACCCTCTATACTCCTACTTATCTCCAATGACAAGAAACAAAAATGACAGAAAAAACATAACAAACTAAACTTAGCCTAATGCTAATTTCCCCCGACCACATTCAATATATTTCTTCTATCCACTTTTTCTCCTTACATTTCATTTTCCTATCCAAAAATCTGTATTTACATCCCTCTTGTACTTCTCTCCTGATCATGGATGGTTGAGGAACTCTTGATCATAAAAATTTGGGACAACTATCATTACTCCGCCTATACTTCCACCATTCTTCTTCCTTTATATAAATATTATGAACCCATTTTACGCACAAGTTGTCTTCCTTGTCTGCTACATTCCACACATATTTTGCAATTCCAACCCTCCTTCTCTCTTAGGCTTACAAACTTTATCCCATGCTATTAAAGGTGATCTGTTTGTTACTACTTTCCAACTCCATATATAGTTCCTGCATTCAACACTATTTGTGGTAGCATAAAAGTGGATGCCCAATAGGAATGGCAGTACAGAATTAACTAACTGCACTCTCCCTGCATAAGATAGGTGTCTTGATCCCCATGTACGAATTCTTCCGCTCATTTTCTCAACAGTCTCCTGGTGATAATCTTCTCACTGAAACTGGCACTCCCAAGTACCTGAATGGTAATTTTCCTTTTGTATACCCTGTCACCGCTCTTGTTTCTCCATATTTGCTGAAAAAATATTTGACTTTGCTGCATTTGTTGTTAAGCCTGATGCATCCGACAAAGATTTCAATCCTCTTCACATTATAATTACAGCTCCGTATTCCCCTTTGCTAAAAATAAGCATATCATCCGCAAAACATAAGTGATTGAGCTTCATTCCTTTGCATTTCGTGTGGTACATAAATCATTATTCTACTAAAATATTCCATCCATATGACAAAAAGTAGCGGGGAAATTGGATTATTTCCTTCAATACATCCAAATATTCCTCCATTTAAAGCAATACTATACCTTGTTGTTGTCACACATTCCATTATCCATGTTATAAACACATGAGGGAAATTTAGACCACGTAGCATTGCTTCCACACTATCATACGCCTTCCTTATATCAATTTTTATTAGACAACTTCTTGTGGTATAGAGTCTCACCATGTCTTGACATATTTGAATGTTTTGCACTATTGACCTGCCAGCTACAAATGCACTCTGATTGCTCGAAATTTTATCTGGTAACACCTTCCTCATCCTATTACATAACATTTTTGAGATGGTTTTATAAATGGTATTGCAACATGAAATTGGTTTCTAATCCCCTACTGTATCTGCCTGACTTCCTTTTGGTATCAATGTGTTTGTGGTATTATTTATCCCTGTAGGCATCTTCTTTGTTCTAAAAAACTCTAGCACTCCATTCACCACATCTTTGCCTACTATCTCCCAATTGTCCTTGAAGAATTGGCTTCCATATCCATCTGGCCCTGGAGATTTATTCCCGTCTATGCTCCATATAGCTTCCTTCACGTCCTTTTCTGTAAACACTGCTTCTAGTTGCATTCGTTTCTCCTCGTTCACCATTGGCCTATTCAGGAGTATTTCCCTGCACATGCTTCCTTTCCTTATTTGACTGCCCCAGTAATTCTTTGTAGTACTCTAAAAACACTTTACTAATTGCTTCTGTTCCTTCTTGTCTTACACCATATTTATCTTTTATTGCAAACCCTCTATTTGTATTCCTTCTTGCCTTTATATAACTGTGATAAAACCTCATATTCTGATCGCCTTCTTGTGTCCACTGGATCTTTGCCTTTTGTTTCAAGAATTGATCTCTAGCCTCCTTCAATTGACCATACTTTTTTGTTATCTCTAGTTCCTTATCAATCAGGTTATTATTTTTTGGGTTTCTTCTCAGTTCCATCTGACATTCCCGTAGTTCCTCTTTCCCCTCATCCGTTTTCCTCTCAATGTCTCCAAATTTCTCTGAGACATAGTAACACCTTCTTCAATCTATGTAGTTTCCCTACTAATTGGAACATGTTCCTTTCCCCTATTTTTGCTTTCCGACTTTCCTTGATCTTTTCTTTGTAATTTGGTGCCATTCTTCACATATTAAAATATCTAAACTGCTTTTTCCTATGTATTTTCCCTCCTCCCAGCTTATAATTGCAGGACAATGATCATATATTCCTTCATTCAGCTGGTAATTGATTGATCCACTCATTATTTACTAAGACTATCAATTTTACTCCATACCCTGTCATCCCCTCTTTGCTTATTGTTCCATGTGAAAAATGATCCTGATGATTTGAGATCCTGAAACTCACACTCCACGACACAGTTCCTGAAATCTCTGAGTTCCGCCAATTTTACCGGTGTACGAATCCTTTCATTTGTATTCAACATGCAATTGAAATCTCCCATTATTGCCCAAGCCCCTTTGATACTTCCTTTAATTCCCTTAATATCACTCCATAGTGTCCTTCTCATCGCCTGATCATTAAACCCATACACCATTGTCATATCAAACACCCTTCCTGTACCTCTATGCTCCACCTTGCTAGGAATTATTTGCCCTGTTACCATCTTCACATCAACATGATATACCTATGGCTTCCACAAGATCCATATTCTTCCTCCATTGTCTGCTCCTAAATCTGTTGTAAATGACCACCCTCTACATAGATTAAGAGCCGCCCTTTTTGCTTTGACTCTCTTAATCCTTGTCTCCAGGAAACCAAACATGCTAATTTTGGAGTTATACAAAATAATCTGCATCTCTTTTTGTTTATCGACTCCGTTTAATCCCCTGGAGTTCCAGAATCCTATCTTATCCATTCAGGATGAGGTTTCCCCCATCCTTCCCCATCCCTTGTTTGCACGCTATCACATTCCTCCCTTTCCCTGCATCCATGCTTCCTTGCCTTTCCTTTCCCAATACGCTGTCGCTATTAACCGTCTCATTTATCCCTTTACCTGCCTCCTTGCTTTCTTGCCCTTCCATTCCCAATATATTGAAGCTATTAGTCGTCTCAGTCAACCCTGTATTTGTTTTCCATCATTGTATCTCTATAGTTCTTGGCATCCTTGCTGATCTTGTATCTCTCCCTACTTCCACTTCCGTATCTACTCTCTCCATTCCTTTCCTTACCATCCCCATTCCTCTCTATTTCTTCTTTGTGTTTCTGCTCATTCTCCTTTAATTGTCTTCGACATTCACTAATATCATGTCCGAAATTTTTACATTTCATGCATAATATTGGTTTCCATTCATACTCAACCTTCTGATGAACTATTTTTCCCATTTCATTTTCAAACATAATATCTTTGGGATATTCCTTAGTCAATGGCATTTCTATCAATACTCTTGCATACGTCAATCTATCCTTCTGTATTGTTGCCATATCTGCTTTCAATGGGTTCCCTACCATCCCTGCTATTTTTGTCAATGCACTCTTCCCCCAATAGTTAATGTCTAACCCTACCAATCTCACCCATATTGGCACATTTTCTACCATTTCGTTCGTTACATCAATGTCCGGTTTCCATGGTTTTACTATCACAGTCTTTTTATCAAACATTTGGACTCCTTCTTCCACTGCAATTCCTCTACTCTCATTTGTGTTAAATCTCGCCATAAACACCCCTATTAACCTGGGCTACTTTGTATACTCCCAATTTTTTCCATATTCTCCTAAAATATCCTTCCATAACATTCGGCGGTGGATTCAATCCTAGAACATAACATGTTGTTTCCCAATATTCCACTTCTTTTATATCATCATTCGTTATCTTAATAGTTACATATCATTGTTATCCATTGTATTGTATTGTATCATTACTATACTTACAATGTTTGTTTTGATTGTTACTTAAAATGTATTGTATTGTTAAATTTCGTTGTTACGTAATAATGAAACAATGGGTAACAATGACCCAAACAAACTGTTAGACTAGTGTTCACTTCCCAAGTTTGATCTATCTCTTCTTCCCCCGTCATTCTCCCTACTGTCCTACTCCATGTCACTCCTTCCCTTATCCTTACTTCAGATCTCTTTTTTGCTGACTCTTCCTGTTCCGCCATGTCTGCCCATGTACTCTTCCCTGATGTAGTTGCACTACTTCCAACACTATTTGAATTTTGTTTTGGTGTTACTTGCGGAGTTAGCCCTTTCCTCACCATTTGTAATGGATCAATTCCTTGTAGAACATTCATTTTTTTTCGTTCTCCTAGCATCCGTTGACTGTGGAATTCCTTTTATCATCGATTTGTTGTTGCGGTACCCAGATTCGTTCGTCCTCATGCCCTAGCCTTCGATTTCCTATCCATTTCAACTTTCGTTGAGAGAGAATCACATTCTTAGAGAGAAAAAACAACTATGAAGTTTACACTGTCAACATAAAATCACCTATAAACAATTTCAAATTTTAGATATGAAATCCTCTCAATATCACGTTGGTTATTGATATATAATTCGCTCAAACGAAGAAAACAAGAAGAAGATGCCAAATTTTGAAGGGATAAGACACAACTACCCTTCTAAACTATGAATGAAATCCTGGAGACACCTTAAGTAAACTAAGGTCCTATAACCCCATGAACAAAATTTTCTTTGGTGATTTTGTGCACCTATTTGGCTTGACATTTGAACATCTCCACGCGCCTCAGCCACGTGGAGTCATGAAGTGTGCTACATAAGCCAAAAGGTGTACAAAATTACAAAAAAAAAAGTTCGGGGGAGGGGCAGAGAGGATGATAAGACCTTTGTATAGTTAAAATGTGTCTCTAAAATGTCAGTCATAGACTAGAAGTTACATGTGACTTATCCCAATTTTGAATGACAAAAGTGCCGAATAATTACTTATAGTAATAACTAACTTATATTTTCATGTCACAACTCAATTCATCGGGCCGTGCGGACACCCACTCTAACATCTAAGTAGGAGAACCCTAATATCCAATAGTTTGAACATGTGGAAATTTTAAGAAAATAAAGATAACTATTGCGAAAAAGACCTTTATAAATAACCTTTTTCGTATATACTAGCGTTAAAACTTGTAAAGTAATTTTACAACTCACAGGGATCTAGTGTAAACATGTACAAGAGCTTCTAAGAGTACAACATCATAAATTAAAGGCACAACTTTCACCATGCGGAAGGAAGAATAGAAGCTGCTGGAGAATATCTTCATTTGGTTTCCAATTCGATTAGGAGATGTTAAGGGTCCAGCCCATTTGTTATATTTTTTTAAGTGAAAGCCCAATCACTTATTGATGTGTGGCCCATATGTTTTGGGCTTTGTTGACTTCTTCTAGAAGTCTTTGGGAGCTGTTGTTTTCTTCTGAGGGGTTTTGACGTGAAGAAAAGAAGAAATTGAGAGGGTTGTGATAGAGAGAGAGAAGCAGATTTTTGAGAGAGGGTTTGAGTGCAAATTTTCTGGACAACCTTGACAAAATTTCAGTTTTCCGGAGATCCGACCATTGGATCGTTCTGAAATTTTCACTGGTTCACAACATATAGCACTACATCTTGATGGTTCAGATCGTCAATCGAAGCTCTTGATCGTCTGTTATTGCAGCTGGTGTAACCTGCGTTTTTTGGGTGATATTTCCCAATTTCTCTTCTCTTTTGTGTTGGCTCTTATGTATGTTATTGTTGGTGGGCTGTGACATCCTTGTAGACTGATTTGGGTGTCTCTACTCTCAATTTGCATAATAAGAGAAGAAGAAGGGTGGACTCCTACAAGTCCCGTGGTTTTTATCCTTCACACCGAAGGGGTTTTCCACGTATAAATCTCGTGTGTCACTTGCATATTTATTATTCATATTTGCTTTTGATTTTTTTTGATATGTTGCTGATTTGAGCTTGGTTAATTTAGTGGTGAATTTCTTCTGGTAAATTGGGTGAAGTATAATTGGTTGATTGTCTTGAAGTCGATCCTTGTAGGTGTTGTATCCTACTTGTGTTGTTTTGCGCCTCCCCCTACATCTGGTATCAGAGCGGAGTGTTAAACCATAGACATGGAGCATGGAAATAACTCTATGGTTAAACTGACATCAACCAATTATTCCATTTGGCGTCTGATGATGGAAGATTTGCTATATTGCAAGGATTTGTTTGACCCAATTGATGTGGATAAAATAAAGAAAGATGTCCAGCCCACTAAGCCAGAGAAGATGACAGATAAAGAATTGGGAAAAGCTGAAGAGAAAGACCTTGGGGACAATCAGACAGTGGATTGATATTAGCATATTCAATCGTGTATCCCAGGAGACTGAGCCGCTTGAACTATGGAGAAAATTGGAGGGTCTTTATGAGAGGAAGTCCGCTCATAACAAGGCCTCGTTGATTAAGAGGCTTGTTAATTTCAAGTTGAAGCCAGGGAAGTCTGTTTCTGAGCATCTTAGCGACTTTCAAGATATTATTAACAAGTTGACTGTTATGAAAATTGTCCTTGATGATGAGTTGCAGGCTTTATTCCTCTTGAGTTCTTTGCCAGACAGTTGGGAAACTTTGGTTGTGTCCATCAGCAACTCAGCTCCAGATGGTACGATTTCATTGGATGTCATCAAAGAGAGCATGTTCAATGAAGAGCTTAGAAGAAAGGAGATGGGTGTTGATATTTCGCAGGCACTTGTGGTAGAGAATAGAGGAAGAAGCAAGAGTAGAGGTCCCAAAGGGCGTGGTAAGTCAAAGTATAGGTCAAAGTCCAAGGATGGGAGAGAACCTACGATATGCCACTATCGTAGCAAGCCAGGCCACATTCAAAAGTTTTGCTACAAGTTGAAAAGAGACCAGTGAAATAAGAAAATGACCATCATAAAGAGGGTGATGACAAGAATACAGCTGCTACAACATCTAGTTCTGATGATCATGTTTTTTTGATATGTGCTATTGGAGAGTGTTGTCATGTTGATAGTTCTGACACTGAATGGCTTATTGATACAGGAGCTTCCTATCATTGTGTTCCTAATAAGGAGTACTTTATTGACTACCGAGCTGGAGATTTTGGTAGTGTGAAGATGGGGAACCAGAGCTCAGCAAGTATTGTTGGCATTGGAGATATTCGAGTCCAAACCAATGTTGGGTGCTATTTGACGTTGAGAGATGTTCGCCACATTCCAGATCTACGCCTCAATTTATTGTCTGCTAATGTACTTGATAAAGAGGGTTACAAGCACACTTTTGCGGTAAATGGAAATTGTCTAAGGGTTCCTTGACTGTTGCTCGTGGTAAGCTTTGTTGTACCTTATATAAGACACATTTGAAAGTGTGTAGTGGTGAGTTGAATGCTATTGAGGAGAAAAATTCTCCTAACTTATGGCACCGAAGATTGGGGCATGTCAGTGAGAAGGGTATAAAGCTGTTAGCTGGTAAATCTCTTATTCCTGCTGATGTTACTATTTCACTTGACCCTTGTGATCATTGTTTAGCAGGAAAGCAACACAGAGTTTCTTTTCCGAGGACATCTACAAGAAAGAAAGTGAAGTTAGAGTTGGTTTACTCTGATGTGTGTGGTCCCATAGAGGTGGAATCACTTGGTGGTAACAAATACTTTGTTACTTTTATTGATGATGCTACTCAGAGAACTTGGGTTTATATGATGAAGCACAAAAGTGAGGTGTTCGGTATCTTCCAGAAGTTTCATGCAATGGTTGAAAGGGAGACAGATTGCAAACTGAAGCGTCTTCGAACTGATAATGGAGGTGAATACACTTCAAATGAGTTTAAAGCATATTGCTCAAAATATGGCATTCGACATGAGAGAACAGAACCGGGTACCCCACAACACAATGGCATTGCCGAGAGGATAAACAGAACCATTATTGAGAAAGTGAGATGCATGCTTAGAATGTCCTATCTTTCTAAGTCATTTTGGGGTGAAACAGTTGGAACTGCTGTGTATTTGATAAATAGAGCACCATCAGTTCCTTTGGAGTTTGAGATTCCCGAGAGAGTTTGGTTTGGGAAAGACCCCTCTTATTCTCACTTGAGGGTGTTTGGATGCAAGGCTTTTATGCATGAGCCGAAGGAACATAGATTGAAGCTTGATTTCAAGACTTCTCCTTGTGTGTTTGTTAGATATGGTGATGAAGAGTTTGGTTACAGACTTTATGATCCAGCAAAGCAAAAAGTTGTGAGAAGTAGAGATGTTGTCTTTTATGAGCACGAGATGGGTTTTCATCTCTTGGGTGCTGATAAGACTTATTATTCTAATTTCTCTCATGATGTTATTGATATGCCCATGCCTCATGTTTCTGCTTCAGATGATCAATTAACAGGTGATGCTCCAGAGGATGGTCATGAAATTGCTCATGAACATGACCATATTGAAGAGGTACAACCTGATGTTGTTGTACCACAACCTGATGATGAATCTGTAGATGTTCAACATGGAGAGTCTTCTAATCAGGGGGAGAAATCCAGCCCACAGGTAGAAGATCCAACACTTAGAAAATCGACCAGAGTTCGTCAACCTTCAAGACTTTATCCAAGTTCAGAATACATCCTAATCAATGATGAGGGGGAGCCTGAAAGCCTTCAAGAGGTCTTGTCACATTCAGACAAAGACCATTGGCTCAAGTCTATGCAAGAGGAGATGGATTATTTGAAGAAGAATGAAACCAATGACTTG